TTCAAGAGTTGACACAGTTGTTCTGTGGAAAGCGTGGTCCTGCTGCTAGGGGTGGAGGCCTACATGTTCAATTGTCCCCCTCTTACAATGCTGTGATTGCTAGTATCACTCAGCCCTCTGTGAATAGTGCACAGCCATCAGTGTGCTAATGATCCATTGTTAGGCTGATGGTCCTTCTTGAGCATGTGATCAGCTGGTTTTGGTTGTCAGCAGCAAAACTGGTTGATCCACTCTGAGAAGGTGCTATTTAAGAGACTGAGCTGAAAACAGCACCTCAGACTGAAGAAGTCTCTCGGACGAGAGATGAAACGTTTCTACATTTTTTGTTGTTTTGCTTTGTTTTGGGTTTTTTTTTATGTCCAGAGGACCAGATTTAACTTTTTTAGATTTTTCTACCTGGATTATTGAGCATGCATCAGGAGATCTTAGCCTTAATGTTGTTGTTTTTAGTTCACCTCAGCCTACAGACATGTCTAGCATAATGAAATGGAAAGATACTGATCAGAATTATTTGCTGATAATATATTTTTTAATGTTTTGAAATATTTGAACAATGAGAGGCTGGTTACACTTGGCCATGTGGCATGTACAGCCATGCATTAATGTCAGATATCCATCCATCCATTTTCTTTACCCGTTTATTCCATTTTGGGTCATGGGGGTCGCTGGTGCCCATGTCCAGCAATCACTGTGCGAGAGGCGGGGTACACCCTGGACGGGTCGCAAGTCCATCACAGGGCCACATAGAGACAAACGAGACAAACAACCATTCACTCTCTCACTCACATCTAGGGACAATTTAGAGTTACCAATAAGCCTAACATGCATGTTTTTGGTCTGTGGGAGGAAACCGGAGTACCCGGAGAAAACCCACGCATGCATGGAGAGAACATGCAAACTCCACCCAGAAAGGCCCCTGGACCGGGGTTTGAACCAGGGACCTGCTCGCTGAGAGGCAGCAGCTCTACCAGTTGCGCCACCGTGCTGCCTTATGTCAGATATGTACTTTAAATATTTTTTAATAATGTTGCTTTTTTTTTTTTCACTTTTACTGAATACAGAAAAGCTCTCATCATCAACAATGACAACCGAGCCAGTGATGACAACACCAACAACTAATGCAACAACATCAGCAACTAATGCAACAACACCAGCAAATAATATAACAACACCAGCAACTAATGCAACAATACCAGCAACTAATATAACAGCAATACCAGCAACTAATGCAACAACACCAGCAACTAATTTAACAACAATACTAGCAACTAATGTAACAACACCAGCAATACCAACAACTAATGCAACAGAACCAGTAACTAATGTAACAACAATACCAGCAACTAATATAACAACACCAACAACTAATGTAACAACAACACCAGCAACATATATAACAACACCAGCAACTAATGCAACAGCAACAACAACAACACCAGCAACTAATATAACAACAACACCAGCAACAACAACAACAGCAACAACAGCATCAACAACAACAGTACCAAAAACAACAACAGCATCAACAACAACAGCATCAACATTAATTATCTTTGTGACTAGAAATGACAGTTTTAAAATGAACTTGAATTTTAGTGACAAATATAATGACAAGAACAATCAAGTGTACACAGATGTTAAAGGCGCTGTAAGTACTAACTCACCTCATATCTCATTATTTCAGTTTTGTTGTGATGTTTATCCTCTTAATATAGAAACTGTAATGTTTATTCCTTGTTTGACATGATTATATTTTACAGATTGAAGATAGCTGTCACAAAGACTTGTCAAATTATTGTTCCATGGACAGTCTACAGTTCAGGTGAGTCAAAGTCCAGTATATGCCTCCGTTAAAAGATGCAGCAAATATAAAACTGTTTGAACAGAAGTGAATCATGAACCCATGATATACTGTCTTAATGGAAACAATGCCCTGCGCATGTCAATGTGTGTTGTGCACTATGGAAGTTTTACTTATATGCAGTTAAAATGTTTGTAATGAGTAAACTCTTTGCAGTGATGTGTGGTAAATCTTCAGAATTTCAGGACATTTCAGCCCACATAATGCTGGGCTTAGAACACATGCAGCTTTAGTATGGTGGAAAGAAGTTGTTTTGCAGTTAGTTGCTAATCAAGCCTTGCCCTGCAGCATGCTGAGGTTTTATTGGGCAAGCCATTGTTCCTCCCACTGCTCCTAATATGCTTACCAACATGCAGTGCCTATTAAATTAACCCCTTTGGATGTTTTACTGTTATTGATATAACAGTATGCTGAAGTCCCATTGCTGAAGGATCTTTATAGTGAATTTTTGTAGATTAGTGTAGATTTTTGTAGATTAGTGTTATTCTGGACTGCAATAGTACAGGGAATGCAAGTAAAACTTAATATTTTTGTTGCAGTGTATTCAAGTAGGTTGGGTAGACAATAGTGGCCTTGGCCACCTTAAATTTATCTTTGGCCACCCCAGCTTTGTGAGGAAACTATAATTTTGAGTTATATTAAAACTAGAAAGCATTGTTCATTCAACTGATAGGGTGGTCAGTTTACATATTTACGGTGGTGGCTATCTTGGATTTTGACATGGCAACTGAATTTTCAAAAACAACCCCTGTTACGCCTCAATGCAGCCATGTAACAAAATGGAAGTTTGTATCTCTGTCAAGACCGGGTTTTGGATTCTTAATATGCCAGACACAGGAGTGCAAAAACAAGAACAGTTATTATTTATTGGCTGCTGGTTGCTGGATGAAGTCAGGGTCCAGGCGGAAGTCCAATCTTAAAGACAGAAGGTTATTGACTTTAGCCAGGACGAGGAGATTTTGTAGTTATAGTAAGAGTCACTAACCTTCTTAGTCTTGTAACATGGCAGGTACTGTTGTTGATCTGCAGCCAGTGACGTCACACATGCTAAGTGCGCTGCTACAGCGGGGCAGACTGAAGACGTGATCCAAGCAGTGGAAATCCAGATACGCGGTCCGATGGTCGTAGCGGGGGTCAAGCACGGGGAAGCAGAGGGCAGAAACTAGAACCGAGTTTATCAGGTGGGGTCCAGTCCACCTGGGCATCAGTTTGCGGGCAAGAGTTCCGGTCCCGGACTCTCTTTTCCTGGTTGTGGGGGCAAACGTGTAGTACCAGACCCTATCTCCCACTTGGAGTTCCTCGTGAGAGGCCTTTTGGTCATAGTACGCCTTTCGTCCTTCAGCGGATTTTTCCAGGTTTTTCTGGGTAAACGCAAAGGTGTTTTTAAGGTGATCTTCCAAATCATTCATGTATTGTTATGTGATGTAGGCTGTTACCATGGCGGCATCGACTGGTTGGTACAACAGGTGTAGAGGGAGAGTCATTTGTCGACCCGTCATCATCTCGAAGGGAGAGATGCCAGTCGATGTGTGTGGAGTGGCCCTTATGGCCATGAGGACCAGAAGTAGTTTCACATCCCAGTCCTTGTGGTTTGCGGCTACGTATTTCTTCAAAATACTTACCACAGTTCGATTTGCTCTCTCCACTGTGGGTGGTAGCCAACATGGAAGTTGAATTTGATGCCTAGCCTCTTCCACAGTTCTTTCATCACTTCAGCTGTGAAGTGTGTACCTTGGTCTGAGTTCACCCTGAGGGGAAGTCCAAACCTTGAAAATACATGATTCATTAGTAACATAGCAGTTGTTTGTGCTGTGTCGTTAGGAGCTGGTAAGCATTCTACCCATTTGGTAAATGCGCAAGTTATCGTGAGAAAATATTTATTTTCTATAGTGCTCTTAGTAAGTGGTCCAACCCAGTCGATCTGGAGGTCGGACCATGGGAATGCAATGCCTCTACTTTGCAGTGGTGCTCTGTGGAGTGGTCTGGATGGCTGAAACTGGCCACAGACCAGGCACCCTTTTATGTAGTTCTTGACATCCTTTTTCATTCCAGGCCAGTAAGCAACTTGTTTTAATGCTTTCAGCGTGGCGTTATCTCCCTTGTGTCCTGCAGACGGGAGGTCATGCGCATGAACTAACATCACCCCCCTGTGGTCATGGGGGACCACGAACACGGGTGAGGATGTCGGTCCATGAGCAAAAGTTAGGATGCCCTTGATTAGTTTTAGCTGTTTGCGCAACTGAAAGAGGATTTTAAGGTCTGGATTGGAATCCAGGTCGGCTTCAGACAGAGTGTTTTTCTCTGGGTCAGTCAAGTACAGCATCATCGAGTTTATCACAGGATCCGACTTCTGAAGTTGGATGATGTCTGGGTCAGTCAGCACGGGTTGTACAGAGACTGTGTAGTCAGCCGGCTTGGCTACAGCCTGTGCACATGTGACTGCCATTACCTCAGCTGTAGGTTGTACTGACAGAGTTGCGAGCAGCCAGGAGGGGTCAAAAGACCCCGGAGGGCCATCCTCGGCTCCGTCCTTGATAGCTGATTTATCTGTCCGCAGCGACAGTACAGCATCTTCGGTGTGGGATCCTTGGATCTCTACACCTTTAACTACCAACGGTAGGTTGTATCCGGTGGACTCTGACTGTCTCAGCTCGCAGAGGAGGCTTTCTTGTTCAGTCAGAGTCGGGTTCACCAGTTGGGTCTCTTCGGTTTCACATGATTTTGAAGGCTTACTTACTGGGACTGTGTTCTCTGCTGAGAAGTCCTTGGTGCCTTCTGTGGTGCCTGCTGTTGGGCAGTATGTGACTGTCTCAGGAGGCATGAGTATTGGCAAGGGTTTGCTCACTCTGGCCCACATTGTCTGTTCACCATAATCTATAATTGCCTCAAAGCGATTTATAAAATCCTGGCCGATCAAAAATGGGAATGAGTCAACCGTAGACACATGTACTGGGTGGTATAGTGTCATCTCGCCAACCTGCATGTGAACCATAGCTATAGCTGTTATGGTTGTCCTCATCTCTGCGAGGCCTTGCAGTTCTATAGCACGTTCCATGAGAGATATTTCCCTGTGAACACCGTTGGCGGCGGTCCTGAGCTCCTCGAACAGTTTGGCTGACATAATAGTTATGTCGGCTCCACCATCCAGTAGGGCTTCATGTGTGAGGACTCCTTCAAGTGTGATCGACAGGTAAGCTTTTTTAGCGACCCCCTTCCTAATCAGGTTACACAGGAACCTTGTAGGTTTTGGCCAACGTTTTTTCTTACGTTTACCTTTGCCTGTGTAATCCTGTTTTTTCCGAACCGTTGGTGCAGTTGCTGCTGCTCCTGGGAGTTCGGTTTTTGATGGGCCTCTGTCATTGATGTATGAGATCACCCGCTCACTGTGGTTGAGGGGCTCTCATTGTTTGTAACAACAAGGTCCTGGTGGCTGTCCGTGACAGCGGCAACATTGTAGTTTGTGTCACCTTGCTTTATCTGAACCGTTAGCACAGCTGTTGCTGTTTCTGAGGTTCCAGATTGCGATGGGTCACCGTCGGTGACGTGTGATTGTACCCCCCCTTTTTCAGGTGAGGGCCTGTCAGAGTTTACAACAACAACGTCATGGTGACTGTCTGTGACAGCAGTAACGGTGTTGTCTGTGTGCTCTGACTTATCAGCAATGATATTGCCACCCAACGCGTCAGGTTGTTTGTCCGTGGCAACACCTTTTAACAATTCCAAGAACCGACGCACACTCTCTGTCTCGTCCGAGCTCAGAGGTCTGGGGCTCTCTTTCTTGATCTGCTACTGTTTCTTTTTCGTCTCATGCTGTTCAGGCTGACGTGGAGGGGGAGCAGGTCCCCTCCTCTGGGGTTCCCAGTGGGATCCCTGGTTGTATGGGTCTCTTTTGGTGCCATACTTTTTACCCTTAGGGCGTTCGCCCTCCTTCTGGTACATTCGTTCATCCTCTGGTTTCTTGTGAAACCATTTAGGATCCTGTCTGGACCAGGGGGCACTCACCTGTTGTGGTTTGGCTGCTGGGAAACCTCGTTTCCTCTCGCCTTTTTTGGGAGGGGGAGCTGAAGCTCTCATCCCTTCCAATTCTACTGACTGGACAGGAATCCTCTCACCTGGGAACACCTCATTGGGTGTTTTGGCCTGTGAACGGGCTTCAAAGACATTCACAGCACAACTTTTTATCTCATTGATGGTTTTCTCTTTGAAATTAGCCATCATTTGCACCGACATTCTTATGTCAGGGTGGAGATTTTTGCTGAAAACGAACTTAAACGCTTCCTCCTCTTCCATGCTTGTTTTGTTCCTACAACCAAAATAAGCCTGCAAAATCCTGGAATAATATGCCCTTGGGTGCTCATTCTTACCTTGCATGACCATGGTGGCGGCTGGATATCTGCCAGGTCCCACGCAAGGGGTATACTCTTTCATAAGACATAAGAGCAGCACATAACAGGCGGTAATCCTTTCTTGTGGCATCAGGTTGACGCTCTATGAAGGAAAACACCATCCTTGCTGAAGTGAGCCTGATTAAACCTACTTTATCCTCAACTGTAGCGTTGGGATAGCTTCTTAATTGGAAGTCAAGTTCGTTCAGATAGGCCTTAGTGTCAGTTGAACCCAACGGCCTTGGTTCAAAGCGTTGGACAAACTTCACGATTTTATGCAAATCCACTATGGAGAGTGGAGGCTGAGTGATTGGTGTTGTTGGAACAAAAATAGCACGTGGAGGTGATTCACTAGACTCACGTGGAGGTGGCAGAAGGGGATTATGTGTAGGAGGTACAGCAAAATCCTTCTGAAGTGGAGGTGGGTGACCTGGACTCTGACCCAGTTCGTCTTTGAGTTCCAGACATCATTGTCCCACATCAGAAATTTCATTTGTTGCTGCGGCTAGTCTCGCCTCACAGGCTTTTAAGCGTTAATTTGACGTATGACACTCACTTTGTAAACGCACGCCTTAT